ATCTGTGTTTGTATTTATTTCTCCCTCAGGAAAAAAAAAAAAAAAAATTAAAAAAATTTAAAAAAAAGGGAAAAGGACACCTGAGCTCATAATTTGCAAAAGTTGGACGAGAAACCTGGAAGCCGCCTGAGCCCTACATCTTTAAAAGCAGTTAAATTCCTCTTCCCTGCACTAGGAGGCACCTTGAACCTTCCTCTTGGCCCCGAGCAGAGCCCATCTGCTTCCTATTACCTTTCCCTGGCTCTGCCCGGGGCCGGCCGCGCAGCCGGGCTTCCAGGGAATTCTGTCTGCAGCGCCCAAACTGGGAACAGTTCTCATCCTCCTCGCTCCTTCTTCTCTTCTCGCTTCATTCCAGCTGGAATTTCACCCTCCCCTCGCCAGCCCTTTCCTTCCCGGGGTTTTGGGGGTGGCCCGAGGTGGCCCGAGGTGGCCCCGGCGCCGCTCGGGGTCGCGGCCAGAGCCGCCCTTGGCACCGGAGCCGGGAGCCCGAGCCGAGGCTGCCAAGGACAGCGAATTCCTTGGGAAGGAGCAATTCGGAAGCGGCCCAAGAGAGGGAGGCACGAGAGCGGAGAGGTCACCCCGTGTCCCCGAGCTGTCCCCGAGCTGTCCCCGAGCTCCCCCAGCCCCCCGGGGCTCCGCGGTCCCGGGGATTTGTCCGGCCGAAGTGAGGTTATGGAAAACTCGGTAGGGATGGAAGCACCAGCGCTGCTCCGGCTCTCCGCTCCTTCCTCCGGCTGCTCCTCCTGCTCCTCGGGCTTTGGGAATGAAGCCCCGCCGGGAAGGGGCCGTGTTTTCCCCGCTGCCTGCAGGGAGGGATCGCAGCCGGGCCCTTCCCCCAGCCCGGCCCGCAGGAATTTTGCAGCTGGAATTTCTGCCTGCTGCTGCTCCCAGCGCGCCTCCTTCCCCCAAGGTCAGGGCTGCGGGCTCCTGGCGCCGGCGGCTGCGGGGGATGCTGAGCAGGGGAAGGGCAGGCGGGACACGGGGGCACCGCACAGGGGTCACCGAGAGGCGGGGGGAGGACGGGGAGCCTGGAGGAAAAGGGTTCAGCAGCTGGAAAACAGGGGAAATCGGTCGTGTGAAACCCAGGAGAAAATACACTCTAGCTGGGCTCCGCGGGCTTTGGAGCCGTGACAGGATTTAAAAGCTGGAATCTCGAGCTTTGGGAGATGCTGGAAAATGCTGAGTTAGGAGAGGGCTTTGCTTTCAGCTTCTCCCTTTTCCAGCCCGATTCCCGCAGCCTGAGCGGGCACGGAGCGGCCCCCGCGTGCTTTGCCCGGGGGTGGCACCACAGGTGATGCTGTCCCCGCTCCTCGGCATCCTCCTCCAGGGCTGGGATGGGGCACAACTCCTGCCACAACCCTCTTCCCCCCGCTCCCTGATTCCTCACAGGGAAAAGGAGCAGCCCGAGGTGAGAGTTTCCCCCTCTCAGGCACTTTATTCTCAGGATTCACAATTTTGGGGGCAACCATCGTGTCGTGTCTGGGCTTTGCAGAGGAAAACCTGGCCCCAGATGGGACTGGCCTCACCGAGGATCTTTGGCCATTCTTAACTGTAAATAAGCAGTGAAAAAATTTTAATCTTTAAATTATGCAACTCCAAACTGTGTTCAAAGCTGCGTGTTTCATCTCCCACCGTTTCTGCCTAGCAGGGGGAAAAAGCATTAATTTAGGTTAATGCTTTTAAGCTGAAGGAGGGGAGGTTTAAATGAGATTTTAGGAAGAAATCCTTCCCTGTGAGGTTGCCCAGAGCAGCTGTGGCTGCCCCTGGATCCCTGGCAGTGTCCCAGGCCAGGCTGGACGGGGCTTGGAGCAGCCTGGGATGGTGGGAAGTGTCCCTGCCCCTGTGGAATGAGATGAGCTCTAAGGTCCTTCCCAACCCAAACCATTCTGTGATTTCCATGATTAATTTGGAGCAGAATCGTCTCCTGGATTTCCCCCTGTACCTCCCCTGGGCTGTGCTGGGTGTCCTGCAGCACCAATACCATTTGTGGCACAGTGAAGATGGGAACACAGGAGTAGAAATTCACTTCCAGGGATTCAGATTCCCATAAGGACATGAAGGGGAGCACGGCAGATCCCTGGAACACCCAGCTCCCCTGCCCTGAGCTCTGGCCTGTTTAAAGCAGCCCAGAGCAGGGGTTAAACCTTTCCTTACCGGGCTGAGGACCACACACAGGCCCTGGCTGCTGACATCTTTGCAAAGAGCATCCTCCTCCCATCTCCAGCCTCTTCCCATGCTCGGAGCTCATCCTGCCTTTCCCTGGGAGTTTATCCTGCCTTTCCATGGAAGTTTATTGCACCTTTCCTGGGGAGTTTATCCTGCCTTTCCCAGGAACTCATCCTGCCTTTCCCAAGGAATTCATCCTGCCTTTCCCTGGATGTTTATCCTGCCTTTCCCTGGGAGTTTATCCTGCCTTTCCCAAGGAATTCATCTTGCTTTTCCCGGGGAATTTATCCTGCCTTTCCCAAGGAATTCATCCTGCTTTTCCCGGGGAATTTATCCTGCCTTTCCTGGCAAGTTTATCCTGCCTTTCCCTGGAAGTTTATCACGCCTTTCCCTAGGAGCTCATCCTGCCTTTCCCAAGGAATTCATCCTGTTTTTCCCAAGGAATTCATCCTGCCTTTCCCTGGATGTTCATCCTGCCTTTCCCTGGATGTTTATCCTGCCTTTCCCTGGAAGTTTATCCTGCCTTTCCCTGGATGTTTATTCTGCCTTTCCCTGCGAGTTTATCCTGCCTTTCCTGGGAGTTTATCCTGCCTTTCCCAAGGAATTCATCCTGCCTTTCCCTGGATGTTTGTCCTGCCTTTCCCTGGATGTTTATCCTGCCTTTCCCAGCCCTGCTGCAGCATGTGGGATCTGCACCACCGCTGCAGAACTTTATCTGCCGCTCTGCAGGGAGGTTTGGGGCTGGCAGCGTCACCGCTGGGATATTTGGGATTCTCTGGGAGGTGAGGGATGTGCGGCACTCATCCCAC